GTTTTACTGACGTTATCAAGAAAAGGTTATGGAAACGTCCGTCGGGACTGTGTATCCTATGAACTATTACCACGATAACGACTAAGCATTGAGGCTCATAACAATGGCATGAAAACGTTATACTCTATATTACGTGGCATCGAACCACGCTCCGCTGCCTGCAATATTGTTTTCAACGATCTAGCTCTGCTTTAATGCATTCGCACTGGTATTCACGTCTATTAGGTTTCTCCAACGTGACGTTTCGATTTTCTTTACCCGAAGCCACGGCACTCATCTTGTTCCAGTTATTCGCGGATATATAGCAGCGACAAGGTCTATGGCGTACAGGGGCATAATGTAGACAGGCGTGAAGTTTGTATTCATGACGTACCAATAAAATTCCGCCCTTGGCACAATTATGTTCTCGAATATGCGTCGTGACACGGAGTGATTTCCGAGAATGTAATGGTTTAATATATCTGTGAAAGAAAATGAATCGCTGCTTCGTCGGATATGATAAGAGGTCTACAAAGATAATAGATTTCGAACGAAGAAAATAAATTCCATTTGTTGGCACGACGTGAGATTAACAGGAATTTATATTATGTTGACATTATGTTGCGTCGGTCATGTCTTGTGCTCCGTAAATACCCGTAAATACGGTTCTACACCTCTTTAAAAAAAAAACTGTCATTTTCTCCTGTATTCTATCTATCTATCTATTTTCTAATGCCTTAAACAGCGTCCTACTACTATACATAACATGCTCAGTGAACGAAAACCAGGTTCTTCACTCCGCCCACTTAAGGCTCTTTGACACGGTCTCAGCAACTGACCCTTGCCAGTCAACACGAATTTTGCATCTCTTCCAGAAAACTAATCCATTTATCTTAGTCATTGTCAATTCTCTTGTTGTTACTCTTCCGCAAGCTCGTTATTTCGACATAAAATAAAAATTACATCGATCCCAGAAATCACCTCTTTCATATAGACCCATCTTTTTTTATTTGCGCACCAGAACGATCAATAACTGGTAGTAGTCTAGATCTAGATCGGTGAATAATTAGGTATTTTACAGAATGGAGTAGAAAAAATTAATTTGATGTTTATATGACCAAGGCAAATTTATTTTGGTTAGTTGCCACAAATGAAACTTAATTAAACTTTGACAAAAAATAACATTCACTGATCTTGGCTATTGCACATTAAGTGAACTTTTAGGTCATTAAGACTATAATGAGGAAATTAAATGCTTTCCCTTCATAAAATCTTAACGATTTAATATCAGATATAACAGAAGGTTCGAAAATAAAAACTAAAAGAAATTAGAACTTCCATCGTTTTTATTTGACTTAATTACACAGCGTTTTATACAACTTTGTACACTTGATAAGACTTGATAAGATGAGACAGTGATCCAACTGTTTGTAATGTCTTTTAGATTGAGAAACTTGTATTAACCAGTAAAAAATAAACGATAAGAAGTTATTATTGTGAAAAGGGATGGAAAAGCAATATAAATAAACACTTTTCTATATACCTACGTACATGAATATAAGATTAATATTCTTAAGCTCCAAGATATTCGTATTCTGTCTCTCTCCCATCATATTTTAATACGTAAAATGTTTTCTCTTTCATACATTTGACAGTTACATGTAACAGTTTTTTTAACGTTTTAATTTTCTTTGGCACTATAGTTCGTGAATGTCTTGTTCTAAAAATTAAAATGTTTATACTTTTCTTATTCCGAATTAATCGCTTGATGTTATGCTACTTCTATAAGAGGATGAAAATTATATCAAAATTTGTATCAATAATATCCTTCCACTGATAATTTGCGCCCTTGTTTTACGGTATATTTAATTAGACAGAATTTTAACAAAAACTATAAACAGAATTCGACCATCTATAGAACTTGTTTTCTAGCATATAAGTATGATACTTAACTCACTGTTTAATATTTTATTTTGCCCCAAAAAGGGATGATTTTCAATTAATACCTCTGCAAATTGTTTTCCTTTTTCCTGGCTAATATGTATCTGCTTGTCCAACAATTTATCACTTATTGTTTGCCAACAAACACTTGAATAGGGAAAATTTATCAAGTGCGGCCGATATATCCGGTTTTCCCGATAAATCCTAGTTATAGCGTTTAGGTATTTATCATGTATGGCTGACGAAGGTACAGTGGGCCTTTCGCAGCACCGACAGCAAATCGGATTTATTTTTGTAGCGGCATGTATGCGATTGATTGATGACGTGCGGGCCTGATCAGACTAAAAATGCTTGCAATATTCAAAAAGATTATATAATATTATATAATGGATTATATCATTGTGTCAATTAGAATCAATTAAATAATGGGGTAGTTTTTGGGCACAAAGAAACCGGCAAAAGATTTTTGCTGCAAAAAGTTTTTTTTTTCGAATTTGGATTTTTGTTAGACTTTTGGAATAAACAATTATAACTTGCAACGATACGTTTTCGTCAAACTTTCAAGGTAAACAACTAAAATATGCAACAGTATTTCAGTGAAATATATTTCGACATTTTTTTCTGCAAACGTCAAAAAATGATAAACTATAAATCTTATAATATATTTTCAACGATAAACGAACTGACTCTTTTTTCAATTCCTGCGTTTCCACATGACATGACATAACATGACACCGAGAAATCGTTTATTGCTAAATGTTTAATAATTATTGATAATTGGAATTTTATTTCAATAGTTACAGTGATTACTTGATTTGAAATGAATATTTTAACCCAGTTCCACACCATTCTTTATATTAAACTAAAAATATTACTGAATTATACATGTTACATGCTACTTAAATAGTGTTTTCAACTTGTGAGCGAAATAGACTATTTTTTACTTATTTGTATTATATTCTTTTAATTATCGAAGTGTCATTTCGCACACAAAAATTAAATTTGGTACCTCCTACCGAGTTAAAAAACGAAAACTAACAAAGTGAGAAAATGTTAAGTTTAATTTTAAGTTACTTTATCAACAAAATTTAAGGAGACAAATGGCAAAAATTCTCGTTACAGACATCGCAACCTGATATTTTAGATAAATTGCTCCAAAGATAAGGCATAAAAAGTTAGGTTTAATATGTTCAAAACTGTTCTAGAGGACTCTACTTCGTCTACCTACCGTGCAAAGCGTCTATAATTAATTTTTATCAGGGACATCGCTAATCTCAAATTCAAATACCAAAAAATGGTCTGCTCCAGCATTAGTGTTCAATTAATAACTCCAAATATTTTTTAAAAAAACGAAACTTGCTATGTTGTTTACTAACGCGGCAAAAGATTTCTGATTACTTACTTACTTACTGCAAAAAATAATTCGTTTTACTATTAACATTAACGAAAGTTAGGCACCATTAGTTTGTCGAAATATAAAAAAAAATTACTAAGCATATTTTGTGTGTACTTTGTCCGCTACTACTGCCACAAACACTGGTAGTTGGAAAAACTGAAGACCATTATTTCACCAAATTAAGGAAAAAAAAGTCAAGTTGCACCAACTCACTAAACTATTTTCAAAAAGGATACAAGTTATACACATAAGACCCGGTTTCATTATTTGCAAGCTACGAAAATTTCCAGTTTGTGATTTTAGATTTCCATAAAAATAGTAGTAGAGTGTCGTAGATAATCCCAAATAAACTCTGATTAATGCACAGACAGATTTAAACTAACCAAAAGTCATTTACAATTTTTAGATCTTATTTATCTTCTTATTCTTGATAATTTAATGTCTTCCATACTCTTATTTGATAATTGTCTTATTATTAAATGAACTATTGCTGATCTTGTTTATGTCTTTAAGCGATATTTGGAATAGGATATATTAGAAAATAACATCGGGTGAGTTGGATGTGCAGCAATAAAAATGAATTAGGAACCAGCATATCTTGTGTATAGAATCATTTAAGTTTTTTGCCCCTTGTTATAAAACCCGCATTAACGGTTGATAATTAATTTTGTACCATAATCATTTGCCAAATAAATATGCTAAATAGATTTTTATCCACTTTGAAGTCATCAAAATATCGATTCGGCATCATGATGAGATCCTTTATTCTATTACATGATGTCATTTCAATAAAAACCTGAATAAAACAGAGATGGTATGGATTTATATATTTATTGACCACGAACAAAATTTTTTTTAATATACGAGTTCTAACCCAAAAGTACCTTTTTTTCGATAGAATACAAGAGAGTATCGTGATACAGCGTGCCCTCAAAAATGAATCACCCAGTAACTTTACAAATATAAGTTCTTTTGAAGGAATTTGAACCTTTGGAATGAAAAATTACCACTTGCAAAAGAATGTGCCATCTGTTCCAATAAATCAAATAATCGTTAATTGCGAGTTGTACGAGAAAATATATTTTAACAAAGCAAATTTCACGGGACAGAATGTTATCTGAGCTCGGTTAAAACAGGAACTTTTTTGGCCGTTGCGAATGCCTAAACTTTGGTAGCGCATGTTGCCGCCGTAAAGTCTGAATTACTCACTACTAAAACTTCGAATGTCGGCAATCCTGGAAAATGCTTAAAGTTGTCTGCAATGTAAATGGGAAAGTTTATAATCGCTCAGGATAAATGCTATAGGAAAATACCGCCGCTAGAGAGTTTATTTTTATCTACATAAACGATGATAAAATATTATAAAATAAATCGTATTTTAGGGAAGGAAAATTCGGAATACAGATTTTTTTTCGTATATGTTGATAAATCCCAGCACACTGAAAATTGTTCTGGAGAATGAAAAATGATGATGATGATCGTTGATAATTATAATAGTAATAATTATGTGCATAGATACATAAAGAAATTTAGCAACCTCGAATGATCACAATCCTTTTTTTTTAATCTTGGAGCCCTGATTTTCAGATTTGTTCAAGGCCTTTTTGTGGTGAAATAAAGCAATCTTTATTATTCTTTAAATAGTTTTATAGCTCCTTGTAAAAAGTAATATTGATTGTTTCAGAAGATTCCGACTGGCTAACAGGTACCAAAATAGTAGATATGATTAGAACTTGGGCACTAGAAAGTAGGGAAACTTCAATGACAGCAGTACTTTTAGCCGCTCTGAGTTACCAGTGCGCCATCACATGGAAATGGTTGAGAGAGAAAGCTTGCTACAGGCCCACCCATCTGCAGGAAGAATTGGAAAAGCCACCGCAGGCGACTTTACAGATAAGCAATTCTATGCCAGACTTGCAGGAACCTTTAAAGCCGACTTACGTACAGGAAATTAAAGACATCGTAGCAAAAAAGGTAAGTGTCAATTTGTTTGGGTTTAGTGTTAATATTTTAAAAATCAAGCATCCATTTTGGTTCTTGATTATTGATACATTGTTCGAAAAATATTACTAAAAAAATTATTATTGAATTAAATGTTAAAAGTTAAAGTTAAAAACTAACCAAAATAACTAACCGAATATATCCTTCTTAATCTATCAAAAATTTCATATACCGAACAGAGCTTTTATAAAATTCAAAATTAAATAAATAAAATAAGAGCTTGATTTCATCAGTTTAGGTCATAAAAAAATCCACCAATGAAGACATTTTGCGTAAAAAGGAAATTACAATCAACACCGCTCTGTCGGAAGAAAAATTTCAGTGAACTGATTATAGCGATTTGGGTTTATTCGCCAGAAAACCTAGCTTGTGTGTCCAAGTAAAAGGGGTTTTGAAACAATCCGAAAAGAAAACGAGCAAGACGACAACCCAAACTCTTATTTTGTTTTCATGGCTGCTTAAGAAAAAAAATGTTACCTACCTGAAATGGTTTGTTTTGATTAATTTCGGCAAGTTGGGAGAATTGCGTCTTGATGTTTTCGTCATTCCTTTTCAGGTTGAAAAACAAAAGAGAATTAAGCAGTTAACACGGTGTGCAACTTTGTGGTGATCAGATAAGATCATATATCACCGACTTTTAATCCGTTAAGTCTTTCAAAAATGGTGTGACCTATTGCAGACACCTGCCACCACTTAAACTAATGGCAAGATTTAAAAAATTGTAATATTTATTTTTTGAGTAAATGTTAAAAAAAACTAATAAATTGCACTTTCTGAAAACATTCCAAGCAATTTAAAAAATTCACTTAGGATTTTTAAAGTGGTTTTTATTTGAAAAAAAATAATTTCGCTGCATTCTCTCTATTTTGTGTAAGTTGTAATTTTATTAATTTAAATAGTTAATAATAATTCAAATTAAATATTAATAATTATCGGAATTCCTCAGTGAATAGGTTTCTACGAAGAAATTCTTAGAATTTATAAAATTTTATATAATTTAACACTGGAACTGTAGATGCTCTCTTCTTTTTTTTGTAAAAAGTTTATTTTTATTTTACTTTTACAGTTTTTTAATTAAAACGGAAAACAAAAATTTTCCGCATAAACTAAAAATTATTGCTTAATGCTTAATAAACGAGAAAGGAATATTAGTTTTTGGTTAAATTTTTGCAAAACAATACATGTTCATTCACTAAATAACATTTGACATGACCTTCAGATTTGTCAAACGTCAAAATTACAGCCGTGGCAACAATCTCCGAAACCATCCGTTTGCTCCCAAACCCGTGCGGGAATATTCCGAAAATGTCCGTTACCTACGGCTGCGAGAAACACTAACGGCGTAAAAAGATACTTTACGCATGATCGATCCTTGTATAATAGGGTATTTTAAAGAAGGGAGTAGAAAAAATAATTTTGGATATCTATGAAATATTATTGCGAAATGAAAATTAGCCTCTCAGATAATACCAAATATATAAAAATAGAACCATTGTTTCTCAAACTTTGATGGAAGGCAGGCAAGGCGGGTATTAAAGGAACCTTAAGCAAAAGGGAAGACTATACTCGGTAATTTTCATGCTATTTATACCAAACAAAAAAAGGGCAGGCCAATAATGGTTATGAAAAAGTGTATTTGCCGTGGAAATCGCTAAATATTTATTTGCCCAATAACAATCTTTTTCACGCTGACGCCTTTCCGATAGAAGCGTGTCAATACACGGTAATAAATGAAGGATCAACAGGCGTGAAACGGCCGCCACCCCGAACGCCGCTACTAAAAGCACGTGACGCTGCGGTTTAGTCAAACCACCCCAAGTGAAATTTATTCCCTGTTTTCCAAGACGGCAATTTTATCGTTGACTTTTAAACGGTTTTATTTGACTTAAGCGTGTATTCGACTTTGAAACGGTATTATTTCCTTAATGCCTCCCTAATCTGAAGCTGAAACTAATATTATTATAGGGTTATTTGTTCCATACGGCGTGAAATATTGTGCCTAAATGAAAGGATATTAAAACTTTTGGGATGTGTAAATTCCTATTAAGATAATTTTTTAAAATTACTTTTATATTATTCAGGTTGTCGCAAAATTGTAACAAGTTTCGAAGTTGTAGTTTTTAAAGGAAACCCTTGTATATTTTGGATTCTACAGCCAAAATAAATGTAAAAATGGTTCAGTTATGATAACTAAATATTAAGATTTTTTTAATTACTTTTATTTTGTCAAAAATTTTCTCAAAAACATTTACATATTTAAGGTATTTAAGCAAAAGCTGGAGTAAACTGTGGCGAAATAATATACCTCAATCGTAAAGGCTGCTATTACACAGGGTGACCAAAATGTTATCCTGATCTAATAACTTTAAGCGATTATATCTTCATTAATTAAAATTCTACGCAATATTTTTTAACCAACTCGGGAATGTACTATTTAATTACCAAACGAATGTTTCTATAGCTTAAGCCTTTTGTCAAAATGCGTGAAATTACATTTTTAAGAGTTATCTAAATAAATGTTTTATTTAATGTAGTTGCCTATAGTATCTAGGAATAACGGAAAATTTATTGAAGCTGTCAGTTTGTTTGTCTGGTTTTGCTGTTTATTCTGCGAATTTAAATATTTTTTGACTGCATTGATTATTTTCTCTGACACTTTATCAGGATTTGACATTGGTGCAAATTCAAATATTTACAATTGTAACTTGTAGTATGTTCCAAAAGCAACAAGTGGACCAACTAAATAGGGATTATAAACAATGACATGGATAATAACAATCATTTATTATCTAGTCAATAATCGCAGCTAACTAATAAAAACATGTATTCACAATATCCCATTTTCATATTGTGTTCTTAAAAACCTGTTAAAAATATATAAAGTTAAGAAATATTATGTATCACCATAAAAAACAGTGTGAAATGACACCAAAAACCATAACAATCAGTATTCTGTGAAAACGCGAATAGTTTGCTATTGGAACCCTAACAACATTCGATAGGCATTAACTAAATTAATTAAAATCGATAAAGTTATACTTACTTAAAGTTGTAATTAACTTACGATAAATGTTTGGCCACCAAGGATAGAAAATATTTTATGTTGGTACACTCTACTGTAAATTTCGTTGACATAGTCTAAATACGTCTTATGAAAGCAAATGGTACATTTATAATTATTTTTTTCTACTCCCGTCTGTAAAATACCTAATTACCCACCGATCTAGCGTGCGGGAGGAGGATTTTACCTCACGGATTTGGGAGAAATCAGATGTTCTCGGAGATCTTTCCCAAGCTTTGAATTTTGACGTTTGTCAATTCTGAAGGTCATGTCAGTGAATGTATTTGTGTTGTTTTGCGAAAATGCACCTAAAAACTAACGGTCGTAGAAAAAGTATAGTATGCAACACGTTCGGTAAACTTTTTAACTCACTCGTTTATTAAAAAGTCGCTCCGCTGCGCTCCGCTCGAGTCAAAAAAACTAGTGTGTCAAATGCCGTTTACCGCACTTATTGCATAATATACTATTTTCTACACACCGATCTAGCGTGCGGGAAGTGTCACTTTACCACGTGATTTTATCGCACGGGTTTGGGAGCAATCGGATGTTTTCGGAGATATTTCCCTCGCCTTGAATTTTGACGTTTGTCCATTCTGACGGCCATGTCAGTGAATGTATTTGTCTTCTTTTGCGAAAATGTATACAAAATATAACGGTCGTAGAAAAAGTATAGTTTGAAACACGTTCGGTAAAGTTTTCTAATTATCAGTTTATTAAACACTCGCTCTGCTCGTGTCAGAGAAACTCGTGAGTCAAATGCCGTGTACCGCACTTGTTGCATAATATACTATTAAAATTGTTGCATTTTCAGATTTAATGAAAAATTTTTGGAGGTATGAAATATTAGTTGTTGTCCTGATTATAAATTAGTATTATAAATGCAAGCCTTAATCGAATGTAGAAATATAAATTGTAATGGCTTGTATTGGTTTAAATTGTAAAAAAAGACAAATTACCAAAAATAAATTTGAGTCAATTTACGTGTATCATTTTAGTTCTTAGCTTCTCAAGTTCAAAACCACAAAAAATAAACATTTTTGCTTTTACCGAAATTTTATATTAAGCAACGAATCGAGTACTGAATTCCCTGCAAAAACTTATATCTTTACCTTCTACGAAAGCATAATCAAGTTTCCAGCAGTCTATTGAGTAGTCCAAACAAAATTTTTATATTTAGTTGTTCCAATTATATTTTTTCTTCACTCATGTTTTTAGCAAATATACCTTACATGATTTTTATTTGCAATTTTATTTGATTTGAATTCAAAAAAAGGAGTAGAAATTGTGGGTATATATGCAGAATCTTGAAAGTTCATTTTTTGCGCAGTTTATATTACCGTAAATCTAGTTATCATTGACTTATTTTTATTTCTTTCAAGGTATATATCCTGGAGCCTTAACCTGATCAAAATCGCTTCCTCAATAAAAATGGATTGTTTAGAAATATTCTGTTCAATAACTGGGATACGAGTGAATATATCGACATACAGTAGATGAAACTTAGTTTTCCAAATTTCATCAAGCCAAGCCAATGTTACAGATATTTTATCAAGAAATGTGAAATCTTCGCGTCATCCCTTATTTTTCCTTTTTAAACCTTTTTAAATTTACGATTATCAGTAGAAAAATTCTTAGATCACCCACTTTCGCTGTCAATAACTATTTTTTATTTTACTTGATATAAAATAATAAAAGTCTAATAAACAGAACCCAACCTCAACCTCAGTCATCAAAAATATTTTTTTCTTGCACATTATCTAAATAACGTCGAAAGAAAACAGTACAACGTTAACCACGTGACATCTCAACAATAAATCTCAACAAAGAACAGTCCCTCAATTGATGAGAACTGTATTTCACTTGTTTGAATTACTAAATGTTTCTAGTCTATTTGTTTCAAGAAGATAAATTT